GTAATCCCAGCACTTTGGGAGGCCAAAGCGGGTGGATCACTTGAGGGCAGGAGTTCGAGACCAACCTGGCCAACATGGCAAAACCCTGTCTCTACTAAAAATACAAAAATTAGTTGGGCATGGTGGTGCATGCCTGTAGTCCCAGCTACCTGGGGGAGGCTGAGGCATGAGAATTGCTTAAACCCAGAAGAAGTGCTTGAACCCAGGAGGCGGGGGTTGCAGCGAACTGAGACCATATCACTGCACTCCAGCCTGGGTGACAAAGTGAGACTCCATCTAAAAAAAAGAACAAGGCCAGGTATGGAGGCTCACACCTGTAATCCCAACAATTTGGGAGGCTAAGGCGGGCGGATCACCTGAGGTCAGGAGTTCAAGACCAGCCTGGCCAACATGGTAAGACCCTGTCTCTACTAAAAATACAAAAATTAGCTGGGCGTGGTGGCACATGCCTGTAATCCCAGCTACTCGGGAGGCTGAGGCAGGAGAATCGCTTGAACCAGGAGACGGAGGTTGCAGTGAACCAGGAGACGGAGGTTGCATTGAGCCAAGATTGCGCCATCGCACTCCAGCCTGGGGGACAAGAGCGAGACTTAGTCTCAAAAAAATAATAATAAAATAAGAAGAACTTCATGTCAGCTTTAGGACATGAAAAATAAATGACATCTGTGAAAGTAGGACTATTCTTCCTCCCAACAACACAAAAATGTGTTCTACCCTCCATAAAGTCAAGATTTAGTATCTAGTGCGTTAGATACTGCCATAGCCTCAATGCCTGGAAAACACCAGAACCTGGGGGATGTTTCAAATAGTTGGAACACCATTTGAATGCACCACCACCAGTCCATACAAGAATCACAAATGTTAGTTGTATTACTAATTCTAAGAATCCAAGCTCCCCATTTTCCACTCAGATATCACTTCTTATCACTACACATTATTTGAACAGTAAATGACATAAAAATCTGTCTTCGAAGCTGGGCACTGTGGCTCACACCTGTAATCCTAGCACGTTAGGAGGCTGAGGTGAGAGGATTGCTTGAGTCCAGGAGTTTGAGACCAGCCTGGGCAACACAGTGAGACCCCCATCCCTACAAAAAAATACAAATTAACTATGTGTGGTGGATCACGCCTATAGAGTGAGCTACTCAGGAGGCCGAGGCAGGAGAATGGCTTGAGCCCATAAGGCCAAGACTGCAGTGAGCCAGGATTATATTACTGCACTCCACCCTGGGCAACAGAACGAGTCCCATCTCTAAAAACAAAACAAAAGAAACAGGAAATCTGAGGTTGGGTATACCTACAGTTCAAGACCACAGCCTTCTCAAAATATAAAAATATGCTTTCTGTATTTATTCCTTTTAATAAGCAATCCCCTATAACCTGCCTCATTAAGGTAAGAATATTCAAAATATCCATATAAGGAAAAAAAATTTCACTTGTGGTAGAAGAGAGTGAGTGAGTTACCAGGATCTTGAACGAAAACAAAACAGGACCCCAGCAATGAATCCCAAAGGTTAGTGGTGTAAGGCCGGGCACGGTGGCTCACGCCTGTAA